CTAAGTCTGGTGGTCACAAGCCTAGCCTCCTTACTTTCCTTCCATAAGTCATATCTAGGTCTTAACCACGACCTCAACCTCAACGACCTACATGCAATGAGGCCTCTCTTTTATCCCAGCTCCCTAGGTCTTCCGATCTCCGAGCTTCTTGAGTTATGTCAACCTGTACCTTAAGCTGCCCTAAGCGGGCTCCCTGACAAGTATATGCATTGAAGACGGGTTGAGCTCCCTTAAACAGACTACGACCGAACAAACCGCTCTTCACCAAGCTTTTTGGGTGCTTTATCAAATATAAAATAAATAAACTATATATTAAATTTAACGTCAAGAATATATTCATATTCACTTAAAATAATCAACTAGCTTAATTTTGTATTTGGATTCTATTTTAAATAAATGAACGAAAGTTAGGTTATGCAGATAGAATTTGTAATGTGAGCCCCACTGGTTTAAGGGGTGGTTTATCTTTATTTTGGGATTCTGATGTTTCTATTCAGCAAATCATTTGTAAAGATTTCTTTATTGCTGTCCATTTTTCTTTACCTTCTTGTAGCCCCCAGTGGGGTGTTTTTGTATATCTAAGTCCTTGTAGGACTACCAGAGAAACTCAGTGGGATGAATTAAGTCTTGAAAGACAAGCTTGGGGAGATTGTTGGTTTGCAGTGGGGGACTGGAATGATATCTGCAAGACTTCAGAAAAGCAAGGTGGAAATCCAAGAAGTCCAGCCAGTCTTCAGCCTTTTAATTCCTTTATTGACAACATGGATATGGAGGAAATTAGACTGAGTGGTTATCCATTTACATGGTGTAATCAGAGAGCCTCTGATGAAATGATAGAAGAACAGCTGGATAGAGAATTTAGCACTCTGGATTGGCACCAGACTTATCCTAATGCTTCAGTGATTAATGTGATGAGAAGTTCCTCATATCACCCTGCACTTGTCCTGAACTTAGGTTTGCCCTCAGATAAGAAACAAGCCAGATTTAATTTTGATAAAAGATGGATTGGTAAGGATGGATTTGATGAGACTGTCCAATTAGCTTGGAATACTCCAGTCACAGGAACTCCTTTCTTCAGGCTCAAAGAACAAATCAAACTCACTAGAATTGCCCTTCTAAAATGGAGTTCCTCATTCCAATCTCAAAATCAGGCCCTTATAGTAGAACTTACTCTTCAAATGGAAACTCTGAATGAAGACAAATCTGGAAGCAACTGGAATAGCTGGATGAGCACAAAAAATTCAATAAACAAAGCACATCTTCAGGAAGAGTTGTATTGGCAACAGAAATCCAGACAGAAATGGCTTAAAGAAGGGGATGCCAATACCGGATTTTTTCATGCTTTCACTCTTCAAAGGAGAAAACAAAATGCAATCACCAGACTGATTTCTTCAAATGGGAGGATCCTGACCTCTCAAAAAGATATAGAGACTCATATTGCTGACTTTTATTCCAACTTATTCTCTTCTGAGGGCAGCCTGGGAGGTGACTCTGTTCTACAATTAATTCCCCAATCCATCACCTCAGAAATGAATGAAGCCCTCCTGAAACCAGTCACCGAGGATGAAGTCAAGTCAGCTTTATTCCAAATGCCTTCTGATAAGGCTCCAGACAGGAAGGGATGAGCTTAGTGTTCTATAAGCATGTCTGGGAGCTGATCAAACATGATTTTTTGGCAGCCATCCTGAGCTTCTTTCAAACCGGTATGATACTTAAATACTGGAACCATACCATTCTTTCCCTGATTCCTAAGTGCATAAATCCAGAGAGTGTTAGTCAATTCAGACCAATAAGTCTCTGCACAGTGATCTATAAAGTCATCTCAAAGGTATTGGCTCTGAGATTGAAAGTTTGTTTACCACATTGCATTAGCAGCCATCAATCTGCTTTTATAGAGGGAAGGCAACTCATGGACAATGTAATAATAGCACAGGAATCATTTCATTTCTTGAATAGGCACTCATCAGGTCCAAACTCATTCATGGCTCTCAAGCTTGATCTAATCAAAGCATTTGATAGAGTTGAATGGCTTAGTGTGCAGAAAATTATGCTTCAAATGGGCTTCCACATAGATTTTGTAAAGCTGATCTTAATATGCATCTCCACTGCTTCCTTTTCTTTCAAAATCAATGGCAGTGTAAGTGGTTATGTTAAGCCTGGCAGAGGTATTAGGCAAGGGGACTCTCTATCCCCTTATCTGTTTTTAATAGTGGCAGAATCTCTC